CTATATATACATATATATTGGTGAATTCTTTTATATAAGTAAAGTTATCTAATATTATTGAAGATATTTTGTTCAAGTAAACAGTATAATTTTTAAAAAAACATTTACTTTTCCATCTAACTTATAATCAATGTATTAACCAGGGTAAAACCTATCGGGATTGTTAGTAATATATAAATGTTTGATATAAATATAAACATATGAGATAAAAAAACCTATTTGTTCCTATTACTACATGGGATAAATGTGTTGATCAATGATAGTTCTAGATCTATTCACTTTTACTGTCTAAGTAACCATTGGATTTATGACTAATATATAGATAAGAGTTCAAGTGAAAAAGTATTTCATTCCTTATAAGTTCTCTTTATAAACGTCATATGAAATAAACAAATAATAATGTAGTAAACCCGAACACGAGTGGGGACAATCGAATGTATTTGACACGAAATTACAAAGTATCTCAATAGAATCTGAGATCTATATAGTAAATCGTTAATTTGCAAAATATCAATCTAACATCTCAAACTTGACTGTTCCTGTTGCAAACATCGATCCATTGTCTCAGATTTCATTGTTCATGTGTTTTCATATCAATTGCATTCCGTTCCCGTTCATTTTTCATCGACCTACTGAAATATATTCTATGCCTGACCACCGTTATGTACTACTTGTGTGGATATAAGTAACCCACACCACAACGGGATACTATGTTAAACATGTTAAAATCATAAAATCGTTGTTGTTTTTCTTTACTATGAATAATCTAAAATATATTGTGAATTATTACTTAATGAAAAATGTCCGAATACCCACTTGATTATCTTTAAGCATAAATACGATTGTTGTAATCGGATTGTATACAGTATTTTTGTTCTAGCTACTTTATAAAAACCTGTGAATGTTTGGATAGTCTTTTGTCAATTCGAAGATTGTTTTCATCAGAATGTGACATGGACTGAAATTCTAATAAACTGTAAGGACCACGTGATGAGTGTTTTACTTAAGGCTTGGAAAACTATCTATGATCTCTTAAATTTCACGCATAAGCATAAAAAACGACAATTATTCTCCAATATTTTATCTTTCTGGAGAATATGAAAATTGCCTAAAGTAGTTGGATGTTTAGTTCGAAAAGTAAAGTATTCCATTTTGCAAGAGTAGAGCATGAAAATAGTGATTCTACCATTTTTCTCATAATGAACGTTTCCATTTAATTGTACACAATTAATGATTAGAAGTATTTTAGATAGATGGTCAATAAATGTCTTTTGTAGTCATGATGTGTTGGAAACATTGGTAACTTAGTTCCAGTTTAGCAGGTCAAAAATATATTTCTTGCTAAGTAAGCTAGAAATACTAATGTGAGTAATCATTTGTAACTCAACTATATCTTGGAAACTGTAGGAGAATTTCACATACATTTATTTGTCTAGTGAGTATATTTTGACAGATTTACACATTCCTTATCTACAATAAAGTTATCTAGTGTAATGTTCTGATACTTTATCGATTCCTTTATTCATTTTATTCGCATTCAAATAAAGTGTGAATACAATATTCCACTGTAAGTCATTTGATTTATCCTTGTATCTGTTATGCTTTAAACCTCAATTATAATTGAATAGTGTAACTCATAATACAAATGGGTAGTAAAAAGGCATTCGTTCATGATATTTTAAATGTTGGGTAACAAGAGTACTCAAGATTGAAAAATTGTTTTCGTTTGACAGTTTCAACTAGAAGTAATTGTATTCTATAGTTAATTTCCTTCCGTAGGTTTAGAGGCTAGGGTATTATTATTTAAAACGTATAGTGTTCCAGTTATTTGGTGAATGCATAAGTACGATGCAGTTCACCTATTCGAATGAATTATGTAAGTTACAGTATGAAGACTTTATGTGCTCACAAGTGACTAGTTTCATGAGGTAATTCTCAGAGTTCTTTTGAGAAGTCGTGACCAGTGGAGCTAATTCATGTTAGGTAAAGACGGGTATCTACCTCACTATAATTGAAGATAGTTGTGCAATTTTGTGGATTGGTTGAGGTTAGACATTCACACTGTTGGATGCGGGCTGGCTCAGTGGTCTAGAGGTCAAGCGTTCCCGGGTTTGAATCCCGCTAGCGCAATCGTGGATGCGCACGGTTGAGCAGTCCCGAACTAGGACGAAGCGGAAGGCTAGTGCTTCCAAGTTTTCAATGCTGTTCTAACATCAATCGATTTATGATCTCAATCTAAAACTTAATAATTTCTACAACTCCATACTGAAAATAATATTAGTTAATATTCAATATTGAATTAAATCCTTGATAACATAAAATCAACAGAATTAATTGTAACAGCATTTAATTTACATATTAGCAATTAGATCTTAATTAATGAACTGGTTATAAAATTATTCGATTTAAATTTAATTAATAATTGTAATATCGTTTAATTCTTTATTATTCTGCCATTAATAGAGTCTACACAAAGATTTTCTTCTTTAAATGATGAGTTGGAAAAAATGATTAAGTTAAGTAGATTTTCATGTACATGACATTTGTCTAGAGAAAAAAATAAGCACAAGTATCATTAGAATGTAGTTTAATATCATCAGATGGAAAATGTCATTTAATTATTACAATTGGTGAGTTACTTTATTTTATTATAAATTAAATAACAGTACTACTGATCATATTTTAAACAGTATACAGTTTTTATATGGGTAAATATATTTATATTTCGGATAAACGATAATCTAAGTGTATACTTTTAAAAGATAATATGATTTCCTATAAATACACCAAAATCCTAATCTATTTTTTAAAAAAATGTGGAGATTATTATGGTATGTACTACTGATATCTACAGATATTAGTAGTATGTATCATGAATCGAAAGTGAAATGCTTGGTGACAGAGAGTTAAGAAGACGAAAGAAAAGAGAACGACATCAATGAACAATTTCTGTAGAAATAAAGGAACAATGAAGTCTGAGATGAGTGATTTAAATTCACAAAAGGAACAGTCAAGTTTGAGGTGATTGATTGACATTTTGCAAATGGAGTATGACATATATAAGCGAACAATATTGTTTTCGATTAGATCTTCGTCAGGCTTTACTCTAATATACAGTAATATTTGTATGCATATATGAAATTATTAAACCAATCAAGGCAGTTTATAAGTCAATGATAACTATGAAAACGATTACATAATAAGTGAAAAGCGAAAAGTACAAATTTGTGGTGTGATAACAGGTGTATTAGTTTTTGATAAGAATAATAAAAGCTCAAATCAATGAAGTATAGTTCTCAAATTTTACTAAGATGTTCTGTAATTCTATGTTCAAATACATTCGATTGTCCCCATTTGTGTTCTCGTTCACAACATTATTACTGTAGATTGATAATTAAAGTATTGGAAGTCTTCACTGTTAAATTATAAAACCAACATACATAGTCATTGTATTACTGATTCATGTTCATCATTATCATTTATTTAGCTAGATCTCAATGTAAATTACTTAATTTGAGATATTACTATGAAAGCTCCATGAACAAACTATCCAGTTCAGAGAATAAAACTCCATCAAATAACACTACTATCATTTCATTCATAAATAAATAAAATTAGAATAGTACTTTTGTGTATAATACACAATAACAATTCAAACTCTAATACGTTAAATTAACTAATTGACTTATTATGCAATAAATCAGAAAGTATATAAGGGAACTTCAAAGATTATATGAATTACATTATGAAGAGATACTTTTATGACAATATTTTTGATCTGAAATTTATATCATACTTTAAGAGAAATTGATGAAACCATGGCAACAACTCAAGTAGAAATTCAATTTAATCATAGGATTTGACCAATATGATGGCTAAGTCAAATCAACTGTTATTTTAAATTCGTTCAAAATAGATGTATTAGGACTAGTTTATACAATAAAATTTATTTCTAACAATTATGCTTTTTGAAACTAACTGATTTATGCAATATTTTTCAAATGTCATTAAATTACTGATTATGAATTTAGAACTTTCAAAACAGTGTAAAATAAAAGATGGTAAGAGGCTGGTAGTGAAATTCAGGACGTGCGTTTCGTCATCAGTAGGTAAGTGGATAATGTAATGATATTTGAAGCGAACGATACTGGGTTCCTAGTTTCAGAGTGAACATCAACTCTATGATTCACATACATGCAAATGATAAGTCTTAAATAGAACGAAACACACGTTCTGGATTCCACTGCTAGTCATTATTTATCTTTACTTATAAAGCTTATGACAAAAGGCAATATCAAAGCGATCCGCACAGGATGCACATATGCTAGTAAAACACTAATTAATTGCAGTCCTAATCAACAATAGGATGATACAAGCAAACAATACGAAATATAAACTAATTTGAAACTAAATTTAATTCTTATTTTTAATGTTAAATAACTGAAACAAAAATTATCATGAAATTATTAAACATATAGCCTGGATAAAATATAATAAACATCTCATATAATAAATCAAATTAATAGAGATATTTGTATGTAAAGTATTCTGTTTTTTAATTGTTCCAACATTTTGAATTGTCTAACTACGCCAGTAGGTCCTGGGTTCGAATCTCGTTGGGGGCGAGGTTGTGGATGCGCACTGCTGAGGAGTCCCACAATAGGACAAAACGGCCATCCAGTGCTTCCAGGTTTTCCATGGTGATCTAGCTTCAACTGACTCATCATCTTAACCATTGAAGTAAACACTGAATTATTTATGAAGTAAAACTTATACATTAAAATCGATTTATTTTAATAAATGTTTCAATTATGTAATATACTTCATCAGTTTATAATGTTACCTATTACATAACACTGTAAAATTAATGAATTTCTTTAATTCACTTCTCTATTCATTTCTCACTTGTAAGTTGTTCAAGTTTTTGTTTTTACGAAAGAATATCATATTATTAACTCAATGAAATTATTGTAAGCTATACAAGTTCTATGAAAACTTACCAAGGACATCACGTTGGCCATTTATCAATATACAATGAAATATTGTTAAGTATAAGATATAATGCATCAATGTCAACATCATTTATATTCTTATGAATCTATTTGAATGAATGTAGTTTTACAGGAAATCTTTATTATCTTTAATATGAATATAAATTATATTTTATATAAAGAAATATAATTTCATAGATTTGTAACTACACAATTGTCTAAATATGATGACCAATAGGAATGAATAGTTTTAACAATTGGTTAGTTGATAAGTTTATCTGAATTTATGTAATAATTTACCGGCCGGTATTCAAAAATCAATCATTATTGTCTTCTATATTTGTGTATATTTGTATTATATATACATAGAAGTATAACCATTTATGATTAGACAACATTCTGGTTGGTTTAACATAAGAAATAATAATCAAATAATAAAAGAATATTTTGTGCTTGAAAATTAGAAAATAATGCCTTTTCAATGAAAAGCAATAGTTTAAGTCGGGTTGAATAAAAAATTAGAACTTTTAAATGATAATTTCAATATTTGAGATTATGAGTCAATTGAAACTAAACCACTATGGAAAACCTGAAAGCACTGAACGGCCGTTTCATCCTAGTATCAGACTCCTCAGCGGTGATCATTCAATGTTATTCTCTAACTTCAACTAATCCATAAAATTGAGCGGCACATTTACCATTGTCATCGATGAGTTAATATCTCACAACAGACCCGATTGAACTCCACTGATCATGTCGTCTCACTAGAACTTCAAGAAATACCTCTTGAAGCCAATCATTAGTGAGTATATGTTGAATATGTTTAAATAATACTATATCGTATACTTTCATTATAGCACTCTAAATCGATTCTAGCCATAAATAGTGGAGCAGATGTTTTGCCTTATAATCAGCTTATTTTAGCCATCCCTACTCACGCTATGCTAATAGTTAATTCAAAATTATGAATTTTTCGAGCATTTACCTGTAATTCAGTCAATTCATAAGACATCGTGATGTTTAAATACATTTATATAGTCGCTTTTAATAAAACATTGCCAATATAATTGAAATCGGAATGGTCATCTCAACAGTTTATCACTAAATGTCTGTCAGAATAAATTAAAGGACAAACGCTGATCCACTTAAGATATAATTTAATCAAGTAGATCTTAATTGATAAATGAACGAAATGGAATAGGATTTCAGAGGATTGATAATTGCGAGGTTGATAAAATGTTTCATAAAAAGTCCGGTATTAATGACAATAGTAGCAAAAATATATAGTGAAGAACTGACACTAATAAATTTAAATAAGGCTTAGGAGATAAATATTAAAACTGTAAGAACACCTAATTTAATGGAACATTTAGACAATTTGTGAGTGTAGACTTACCCACGCTTGTATGAACTATGTCAATGACCAACGAACTTCTTTTGAGTACGATAGTTAGGCTTCTGGATGTGAATTATGATTGCTATGACGATATACAAACGATGAACCCGTAAATCATGTGATAAATCTGATGGTGTATTGTAAATAACTTTTTAAAAAACATTGTTTAGGTCAACCTGATGTTTTGTCTCCACAATGTAATCAAAAATAAAACTCTTAGTCTTATATATATTGAGTGGGAGCTTTGATAAAAATCTAACTGAAAAGGAATATTTTTCACCTTATTCATCTTTTTACGGAATGTCTCAGTCAGCTAGCTACAACGTAAGATCAGGCGCATATGTGCATCGTTCCAATTTGCCACACCTCATTAGTACAACAAGATGAACACCGAATTCATAGAAGTAGTTAATTTAGTGGTGGTAATATATAAAAAAGAGACTGCATATAATGACATAGTACAGGAAGAAAGAATTAGTTCGTAGAATGAAAGATATAAAGCGATTTTAATCTCATAGTTTAAGGGAAGATAAAGAGTGTATACACCTACGTCATTTTAATCAAGTCTGAGCCATGTCACTCAGAGTCTCCAACCATTGGTTACGATAGTCACGCCGATCTCAACTGAGTAGTCTGCATCTGAATGTCTAAAAAATGTATGTTTATATGAAATGTTTAGTGAACACAGAACGAAATGTATTCATCTTATTCAACGATATTTGTTATTCATTCATTATAAATAAAAATAACCTTTAAAGCTTTTTTTTATATTTTCCAAATAATTTTCTAACAGACTTATATTCTTTAACGAATCATTAAACTAGAAAGTAGTCGAAACAAAGTTAGTCATCATTCAAGACTTCAAAAGAATGCCCAATTTATTATGTCTGAATTCACCCAATATAAAATATAGTTTTAGTTAATATAACCTTTTTTTGTAGTGATTGCATATATCTTAATATAAGTCATGATAAATGTTAGTATTTATTTACTTTGATTTGCCAAAATTTTATTATAGCCTATTTAGCTAGTGTGTATTTATTTTTACCGTAGTTATGTTTCAAACAAACCACGTCATTACTCGATATTTCTACATCGCATAAAGTAAACACATTGTAAACAATTTATAAAACATGAAAAATAGGAGAATAAAAAAGACTAATATAAATTTTTGATTGAAATCATAATTCAATTGAAGCTAGACCACCATGGAAAACCTGAAAGCACTGGACAGCCGTTTCGTCCTAATATGGGACTCCTCAGCAGTGTGCACCCACGACTTCGTACCGCGCGAGATTCGAACCCAGGAAAATTAAATTGATAGAATCACTTGATATGAAGGAATTAGTAATGAGTTTTATATATGATAAATATTAAAATATTTAGCTGAAAGACTTACAAATCTTTAATGAGATATTTTATTTATTTCTAGTTGTTGATTGAACTAAAACCCTTTTTATTTAATGATATATCATTGACAAGAAATATGTAAATGATTGAATCACATGCTTAGTGGATAAAGATTTAGAGTCTCATTTCGAAGATGAATGTAAATACGTTTATTAAGCTAAGAAATCTTCAACGTTTATAGAATTTACTTATTGAATTCTACTATAAAGTAATATGATTGATATAATGAGTGCGAAATGTATTCATTATCATAAGCTTACATGTATATACAATGAAAAAAAATCAATGATTTCACAGCTTTACAAATCAAATTACTTTGATTGTTTGATCCGTATTACTTTTAGCTAATATTTTTGTATAGATTTGGAATCATATATTTACTTCAAAAGAAAACTTCGGTTATTTCACCATTTACTTTTTTGAATTTCCACAATCAAATTTAATGTTTCATAATAGATGTAACTTATATAAATGTATATTTGACTGTTAAAAGTACTTGGTATCTAAAATAATTTATTACATGACCTAATAGTATATTCAAAGTGTAAGAAGTGTATATGCAAATGATAGGAGATTATTTGTAGAGGTTATTTCTTTAAAATGATTAATTATGTGCATTGATTAATTAGTAATATGACTTTGACATCATAACATTCACAAGATATATGTATCTATTAACAAAATAATTAATTCAAGTATTGAAAACAACAAACGCAACAAGATTATGTTGTATAAATGTAATATAATTAGTGAAATCAATCAGGCAAATGTAACAGGATGTGGTTGTAGAAGCTGTTGAATTTCATTGAAATCACAAAGCAATCTAATTCACACAACAAACGAGAACCTGGAATCACTATACGGCTTTTTCGTCTATAGTAAGGAAACTCTCAGTGGTACACACCCCCAGTACCATACTTGAAAATCTTACCCAGCGCCTTTAGTGTCGAGTTTCAACGATTAATCTCTAAAACACTGAACTAGCATACAAAAGTGTTAATATCTATTTCGAATCAATCTAAGATATTGAGTGACCATCTTTCATTATCTTTGATTAGTTAATGCCTCACACTCGATATGGTTTAGCTCCACTGTTCACGGCTTCTTATAAAAATGTAGGAAATTTCCTCTGGAAGCTAAACGCTAATGAGTATATGATATTTATCAATATGGGGTTGTAGAGGTTTATAAACTACTGGAAGTGTAAAACAACTTGTTCACTTATATTGTCTAAAAGATCAACTCATGGGTTAATCAGTAAACGAAATTCTTTGATATTGTATATAAGTAAGACGAAAGTAATGTACTAAAATCTGACATATATAGCAATAGCTAATTGCTCTGATAATTTAACCTATGTCCTGCAAACGTATAATCATAAATATTTAAACAATAAAGCTAACACGAATTATTTCTATCATAGGAGTTGCAAATCATACTGATGGTTTGTATTTCTATAGTCAAGTATTAGTCGAAACCTGCAGTTTTTGAATTCGATGAAGTTCTGAATGGAGCATAACATCGAATAAAGGTGAGGTTGCATCATAAAAATATGATTAATTAGATTTCATTGATTAACTAAAAGAAAAGTTTTCCCACTAGATTTCAGTTATGTTTTTTATTATTTTTGATGCCGTAAACAACTGCATTGTGTACTCTTGGACATTTCATAATTTCTAATGAATATTAAATAGTGAACAAAACATCTTTAAACATCATCTATGTAAAACAGAATTTACATGAATCATACACCAATATCTCTATTAGAAGCTGATTATTGGAATGCTTATCAATTCAGTGAAGGTATTCAAGACAAACTGAAACACAAGTACTACATTCTATTATTAACTATCTATCCAAGATATTTACTTAATCCTATAGTAATACTATTCCCTTATTGTATAAAATATAAGTTATAAGAAATGAATTGTTATTAATAGTAGTAGTATTTAATTTAATAAGTAGTCTATAATTGGTACAGATATTATTTATCTTTTATTTTTCAATCAAGTTTATCATGAACTAAATCCAATGAAAAAAATTGTTGTCAAGGAATAAAACCAAATCTCTTTTGTATGGTTAGATAGATTTTATCTTTGAATTAGTGTATACATATATATAAACATGTTCAGTGCTTTAGGATTGATCTAGAAAAAAGATATTTCAGTAAATAGTTCCATTTATATAAATGATAAACTACATGAATAGATAACATTTACAGATTTCTATTATCTTGAGACTTGATAAAGAGAATATTTATTATTAAGTTTTTCTTTACGATTAATAAAAATAATTAAACTTTGATGAATTGAATTATAAATTTAATAATTCAGTTCAATTAGTTTATCAGTATGGGGGTTGTGAAGATTATTATTATGTTTTTTGATTAAAATCATGAACTGATTGATGTTAGATCATCACTGAAAACCTGAAAGAACAGGATGATTGTTTCGTCATCATACTGATAATTACCACATGCTTACTAGTGACTAGCTTTATAA